TCGGCCCTGACATGCAATGGGACCGCTCTCAAGTGCACTCTTCCCACCCAGGCCACCAGGGTTCTTGGGCTCCAGCAGTATGTGGCACAAGGAGCCACTCTATCACTGCCTGCAAAGTCTACCTCCCCTGAAAAGCCCTCCCCATCTCTCCCAAGAGCTACAGGACCTCCCTCCTCCTGAATCCTTTTGGCCACACCCCACCTAAAATAACTAGATTTTATGCCTTTTTTCATGTCTCTCTTCAATGGATTCCAAGTTTCAGGCAGGCATAGTCTTTCTCATTTCTAGACACCACTGCATTGCCAAAAACTTAGCATGGATTACTTGCTGAATTAAATATTACTAACTGCTAAGTTCTTTGGTGGGCATGTTTCAGGGACAGTCCCAACCAAGTAACCTCTGTGGAGAGTTGGGTTATGTTCCAAGAACAAGATGAGCACTAGAAGCAGCAACAGGAGGAAGAAAACCCTTGCCATGGGGTTCCTGACAACGTGCACAGACAACAGACACAAGCAACTAAGTAAGCTATGGCCATCCATGCCTACATCGCATTGGGTACCAGACCTGACAGTGAGGCGCCACTGTCCATACTGGATGGTCAGGAAAGTGAAACATAATCCTTCCTATCACATTTGTCTTCCCAAATCCACATCCTTAACTTCCCAGCAGCACCAACGGTGGCCTGAGCAACCTCAGCTCAGTCAGCTCAGGGAGGAAGAAGCGGTCCCTGCCAGGGAGGCAGGCACTCAACACAGGACTAACAATGATTAATCACTTTCCGGACAAGAAAAAAACATGCAAGATGTGAAATGTGGATAAGAGGAAGACTGTTTTTATTCCACTCAGCAAGACCATCTGAATTTGATGTGCCTGCCCCAACATTGAGCTCTACACAAGGCAAAAAGGAAAACTGCCTGAGGGACTGGAACAACGGGCGACTCTGGACAGGGCTGTGAGAAGCAATCCCACCTAGAAGCAACAGTCTGATTTTCTTTTCTTTAAAAAGCAGTGAGACTAGGTCTTGATGAAAGTCTGCATAAATAAAAAACCATTTATGAAACCCAAACCAAATGATTTAGTTATGTCCTCAAAGGGAAAAACACGTACTCATGGGCAGCTTCAGGGAGAAGCCTGCTGCCAAATGTGCTGATGTCTTCTAGCACCTTGCCCAGGACACATGCCCTGAGCAGTCCTTCCTGTTCTAGGCTCCTCTCTGGATGGTCCTGAGGGGATCAATCTGCTTGTAACCCCATCAGCAAGGGGCCGCACTGCTCACTTTGACCTTCAAAGGACAGAGGACTTACCCTGGCTGCAGAGACTCCTCCAACCCAGCCATGCACAATTTTCAGATCCTCTTTCTTTAGCATACACAAACCATCTCTACTCAGTCATGGCCTAAGGGCATACAATTCCCAGAGCTAAAGTTGCAGGAAGACAGGAACAGGACTGTACATCAGACACCACACCCAGTTATCACTATGAAACTACAATTTGATGAGTCCTGGGCTTCATTCTCAACTCTGAATGTACCATCCTGGCTCAACCCCATCAGCTAAGTATTATCCCCACTGCACAGAGAAGGAAACTGAGGCATGTGACTTGCCAAGGTCAGCACTGGACCCCAGGTCTGTAATTCCCTGGCTCCCTGGAAGCTCTGCTGCTTACAAAGGCCACATGCAGACAGCTGGCACCTCCTCCAGAGCTTACTATGGCCACGGGGGAGACAGGAGACTGCATTTCACACAGGGAACACCACCTAGATGAGCCAGATGCGTGACCTACTCCAGGTCTCATGCCAGCCCCTCCCCGCTGCTCCCCCAGCCAGTCTTCTGTCCCCAACATGTGCTTCTGGGGGGTCCTCTGTGTTTCCTGGGGAAAAAAATCTGGTGGCACTGTCAGCTTTCTCCCAGGAATGGTTGCTGAACCAGGCCTGCAGCTCAACCCCAGGCACGGACCAGTCAGGAGAAATGATCAGCCTCTGACATGAGGAGAACCACAGTGTGTACCACCTCCATGTGAACCCACTTGCTGTGTAGAGGGCTCATAGGCACCAACCAGCAACGAGTCTCTATTCTTGAATTAAAGTGTTGGCTGAGGCAGAAAGGACCAGGCTAGAGCTAGATCTCAGTATCTCTACATGAACAATTAACACTAGCTCTGCCTTCCAGGAACATGTGACGCATGGGGCCCTGTGCTCAATGTTCATACCCATGATCTAGGTGACCTCTACCACCACCTAAAGAGCTTTGAGTATTGCTACCACATCACAGCCTTGAGTCTGAGGGGGACATGTGATAAAGCAGCCGTGCTGGTCTAGCCCAAGCTGACTGCAAGTGCTCACTCTCCACCATCAGGCACGATGCCTAAAGGAACCAACAGTGTCCAGTGTGCATTATGCACAGTGGAAAGACAAATCACAAAAACTGGGGTTTCTGAAATGCATTATTCTTTAAGATAAAAATAATTCTTAAAAAATTACCTAGATACCTCTGGAAGATGAATGGCAACTTCCAGGTACCCTCCAAGATGCTATTTAAACAGGTTTCATCCATGAATACTCAGTACACCAGGCCAAAAAGGGTTAAACTGTTGAGGGTCCCCAAAGGCTCCTTCACAGCCCTGACAAGACACTTCACAGGTCTCAGGTGGTTATGTTTAAAAGTCAAAAGTGGGACACTTTAAATTAAGGAGACTGAACATATGGACTGCTCCCTCTTCTCTAAAATGTCTCAGCCACATTTAGAAAGTGACCAAACCCAACTGTCATAAGTACCTGTGAAGTAACTGGAAGGCAACAGGCTGAGAAGATATTCAGACCACCTAATAAAGGCAACATAATGTATTAATTTTAATTGTTAATATACCACCACTGAGCATTTACCATGTAGTATTCATGGCTAGGGGCCATCATGTGCTGTAATCATCACAAGCCTGCCAAGAACACTGAAGAAGCAGACTCAGAGAGGCTAAGTATCTCATTCAGGATCACACAGCAAAGAAAACTGGACTCAGACCAAGTCTACACCAAAGCCCATACATACATGACCTGTGGAGTACTTAAGAATATATGCTCTAAAGTTTGTGACAATCAATAAAATGAAATCAAGTTTTATATTTCTCTGTATGTATGTTAGATTTCAACAGAAAATTTTTAAAAATAAGCAAGGGAAAAATAACACAGGCTCTAGAAGTAGACTGCCTGGGGTTAAATTCCCAGCTCCTCCACCTACCAGTTGTGTGACTCTGGGTTAGTTTCTTAACCTCCCTGTGCTTCAGTTTCCTTGTAGCAAAGTGGGAACAATACTAGACCTACTTCATTAGGCAGCTGACAACATTAGGAGAAGAAACCCACATAAAGCCTTTAGAACTATGCCTGGCATGAGCTAAGCCTAGAAGCTGTTGGCTGGTGTTATTCTTCACTGGGCACCAGATAGGGCCAGCCAACTCAGCCCCACTATTTTAGCAACACATTTGCATAAGCAAGCCCAGAAACAGCCACTCTGTGCATAGGAAGCCTCATGGTACAGCTTCTTCCAGCTTCTTCCTGTTGCTAACATTTCTCCTGGCACCTGCTGCACAGCTCTGACTGCGCTCTGGACCTCAAATTCCCCACCTGTACAATGTAGTGACAAGCCAAGCAGATCAATCTTTAACCTTAGTTCTCTAATTTCCCAAAGGGTGTGTCCTGGCATGAGCACAGCTGCTACAAGCCAGGTTCCCTAGAGCTGGGTCTCAGTCAGAGTGTGGAGCTCAAAATCTCAAGGGTCTAAAATACACAAAAACTAAGAAGGCAGTTAAGAGAGCTGGAGGGAGAAGCCATACTCAAACTTGAGACTTGGGTTGGTACTGTCCTGATAAGCTGGTCAGCAGGAAGTGTTCCAGTTACGCTGTAAAGACCAGCCCAGTTCCTGCAAAGCACCTGCCGGTGCCCAGCAGGCAATCCATTCCCAATAAAAAAGCCAAGAAAACTAGGTACTAACATTCTACAGATTGGGGGCAGGGCAGAAGGGTGAATGCTCAGTCCCCAAGACACTATGGTGACTCCCTGGTGGCCTTAGTCACGGCAAAGTGCATGGTTGTCTACAGAACCTTCCAAAGCAACTTCCAATTTTACGCGGGAGAAAACGGTACTCTATGCAACTTTAAGACAGAAATGGTTTCAAGCAGCCTAGTCAGCAGTCGCTGAAATGGTCACTGAAATGCCCGCTGCTTGGGCTCACTCTGGAATCCACAAGGGCCAGTCAGCCCGCCTCCAGGCCAGCGTCCTCACGGTGGCCGCGCCCCACCGCGTTGACACACTCCTGCAGGAGAAAGCCCCGTCCCCGCGCTTGGATAGCGGGCCGCTGGGACACGCGACAGGCCTCCAGCCTCCCGGCCGCCCACCGCAGGGACTCTCCGGCCAGGGTCTCCGCGGCCCCGGGGCTCCCGGAAGGTGTCCTGCGCGCCGAGCGGCCGGCTCTGCCGGGCGCGCAGGAGCGACGAGTCTGAGGGGAAAACTTTCCGCCAAGTTCCGGAGGAGGAGCGAGTCACCGCAGGGTCTCCCCGCGGGCCGCAGCGCCGCCCCCACCGGGCCTGCCGCGCGCCCGGACAGCCCTCGCGCAGGAGGGGGCGCGGCGCTGTCCGGGCAGCGCCGCGCCTCGGGCAGCGTCGCTCCGGCAGCAGGTGGCAGCGGCCCGCGCCCGCCCGCCCTCACGGCCCGGCCCCCGCGGAGCCCTCAGTACCGCAGTCAGCGCAGCTGCGACGCCATCCCCGGCCGGTGGGCCCGCAGCCCAAGCCTGGCGGGACCCGCTACTCGCTGGGCCAGGGCGGCCGAAGCACCACAGGCAGCGGATCCCAGGCAGGTGCGCGCGAGCTGCCCGCGGCCAACAGCGGCACGCTCTCGCCCCGCCCCGCGCCCCCTCGTCACGCCCCGCCCCGCCCCCACGCGCTCTCGCCACGCCCCGCGCCCCATCGCCACGCCCCCAGGCGCTCTCGCCACGCCCCGCGCCCCGTCACCACGCCCCCTGCCGGACGGCGTCAGCTCCTCTGCGGGAGCCGTCGCCCCCCACCGCGGATTCTGCGAAGTTGCGAGCTCCAAGCCAGTCGGTCCAGCAGCCTCCGACCTCCAGAACGGCATCCCCGGCGCTTTTCTATTGCAAGGGCCTAACGGAGCTGCGAAAGAGCTCTGAGAGGCCCTTTGTGTCTGCAGAGCCGCCGCAGGCGTCCGACAGGGGCCCTTACCTGATCGGCTCCACCCGCGGCCATCTTGGAAGTGGGAAGCGGCCGGGAGGGGGAAGGGGCACGAACGGGCAAGGACCAGGCGTGGGGAGCCGAGCGGCGGAGCGCATCGATGGGAGCCTTTTCCCTGCAGGTGTGTGGGAGTGATGGCCGGGCTCAGCCAGCGGAGAAAAGGTGGTCTGTGTGGAAGACCAGGCCTCACGTCCGGGGTTTGTGGCTCCGGAACTGCGCTTTGGCACCCTCCCCGCCCGCCCTTAGCCTTTTAATCTGTAAAACGGGCTTTTCTGATTGCTCGCTCTTTGCGCTTTCACTCAGTGCCTGACTTAATTCCCAAATCTGTCTGCTTTTTAAACCTGAGTCTTTTGAAATTCCAAAGCGCTGCATGCCAGTGGCCTCCGGAGGTTTGCAGCAGGCTTTGCAAATGCATTTTGAAAGCTGTGTTAGGTGCAGACAAGTTTGGGAACCACTGGCCTAACGTTTATATGCCCTATTTTGCTTCAGCGTTGCAAAATCTCCAGAGATGCAATCTATGATCAAGTCCGTTTAACAGAGTGGGAAATGGCTCAGAGAAGTCCTCCTGATGGGTCAACGTTGAGAGAGACTGAGGCCCTAACTGAGTTAGTGTGTAGGAAATCTCACAAGTAACTGATTCTCATCCCCCCTATGGAATATAGGCTCTGAGCCAAACCGAGCTTATTTGATTTGCTGCTCTTTTCCCTGTGCCTGGCAAATACTGGATAGTTGAGTATTTGTTAGATTGAAATTATATCCTAAGGACATCATAGCAAGAGCAAAGACTTCAGTGGCAGGAGCCAGAAGGCGTGGGTTTATATTAGGAGTCCTGAGGGTTTTCATAGCTTGAATAATTACTAGAGGGGAAACTCCAGAGACTACAGCTGAATCCGTGGGAGGATGAAAGACCAGCCTCGGGATAGGAAGTCTGAAAGCTTGCAGTGGGCCATTGTCCTTAGGGATGGGCCGGGAACTCCTAACTTGTGTTTTTTCCCCAGGTCAGAGTTCTAAAAATTCAGTACCTAGTCTCCTGGCAGGAGAGTGGAGATTTGAAAATGTGGTCTCAATAGAATGCAAGAGAGGCCTCACAGACATTTCTCACAGTGTTTGGTGCATAATAAATGCTTAAATTTCTGGTGGTTTAAGCAAAAACAATAACCTGGCAGCTGGTTTTGAGCACTAACAGGAACACAGACTTGCCTCAGCCCTGCTCAGTTCTTACAGCTGATACTTGGGATGAGCAAGCCTGCTTTGATGGTGTTCCATGAGCCCCAGCTCCCTTCCACCCCTAATTCTGAGTCTCAGGGTTTTAAAACGCTACAGTGACAAGCCATTGTCAAGAATCTAGAACTAAAGTTTGTGGTCCACAGGTTTGTGTTTGGCGCCCTCTGTCTGCCCTGCTCTCACCTTCACCAGCCTGCTGCCAGGATTCAGAGCCTCTCCTTGGGAGTCCATGGTCACTTACACTGGCCCTGTGACTTGACCCGTGTCCTGCCTTTTGTCGTAAGAGTACACATGTCTGCTAGATGCAGTCTCATTATGACTTGAGTCTGACAAAATCAAAAACAGCAAACAGCCCTGCACCTCTCAGCAGTTTGGTTCCTCCCCGCTTGCCCCTTGCCTCAGAGAAAACACCTCTGAGTGAGTCCCAACAGCACCACCCGCCCCCAGCAGCACTGAGAAAGTATGTTGGCCAACTCACCACCATGAGGAGAGACCCTCCAGCCTGACCTCATCCTCCCTCAGAGGAGTGAGGATGCCTTTCCTGGGATGTCCAATATCCATGGAAACCATCTCTGAGCACCTGCTGGGCATTGGGGACACTAGAGTGGTCCACAGCCTCAACTGCTGCCCTCACAGAGTTCCCAGGACAGACAGATGTACATTTATATATGCAATTTTGTCCTCTTCTAAGGAAAATGGTTGTCTGGAAGACCTCAGGAGGCACGCCAGGGCACCAGAGCTCCAACAATGAGTATTGAGAGAGAAGGACAGAAGGGCTTGTGGTTGAGTGGGGCAGGATGTCAGCACACAGTCTGGAGGCCTCTGCCATGCCCCTCATCTCTCCAGAGGGACCTCATTTCCCCAGCACATATTTGTGCCCTTATTCCCTGCCCCTAGATGTGGCCTTTACCCATAGGTGTTGACTGGGATCGTGTTCATGCCTTGTCTGCACCCAGTGTCAGCCCAAGTGCCAGACTGTGCTGGCCACACAGTCGAGTTTCATAACCTGCCAAGCTGAGGCAGTGACTCATATCTTGGAGGTGAGGAAACAGGCTGGGAGGCAAAGCCATTCAACCCAGGTCTCACAACCAATGTCTTACCCACTCACCATCCTCCTTCCCACCCAGATTCCTGTTCTGAGCCACCAGGGTCCACAGCATGAATAAAATTAGTAGCAGCATCACACTCCATGCTAGGACTCAACGTGGTTCTGGGCCCATGCCCAGGACAGAGGCCAATGGGGCATTGTCTCTGAAGAGCTTCCCATTGGTCCAAGGGCTGTCAGAACCTCATCAGAAAACTCATTTTAAGGACACAATCCCTAGAATTTGCTTTTCTCTGATTGGTTCTGGAAATTGGGTAGTATTAGGAATTTCTGGATAGGAGACAGCCAGAAATGGACCCAGAAGGACCCAGACTTGGAGGATCTACCTCACAAAGCCCAGTACTTTGCTTATAGGAGCCACCTTGGCCCCTCACACCCGGCCATTAACTAGAGTTTTACTCAGTTTTAACAAGGGTGTCTTATTTCCTAGCCTGCAGGAGATTCAAAGCAGCGAATGTATGGAAGCAGAACTCCTAGAAACAGCACATTCCTAAAAGGAAGAAGCAGCAACAGAATCCCTTCAGTCCAGTGACATATTTATGGGCATGAGCCTTATAAAATCATCCCCAAATTCAGGCAGAAACTTCTAACAAGATGGTCACCACAGTGTTATTTACAACAATAAAATGAACATAATGTGTCCAACAAGCAGGAAGACTGACTAAATAGAATGACAAATGCAGCCATCATAAAACCTTTAGGAGTGCAGTTGGTTAGGAATAATTCAGCATTCTGTAGCTCCCAGTAGGGCATCTACGGTTGAGAACAATTGTGTATTTAAAAGTAGCTAGTAGGGAAGATTTTGAATGTTCCCAACACAAAGAAATGACAAATATTTGAGGTGATGATATGGCAGTTACCTGATCTGTATTGAAATATCACTGGTGCCCTATAAATATGTACAATAAAATATTGTATCTATTACATTGTATATACTATATACATAATATAAATTTACATATACATATTTATAGGGCACAGTGTGTGTCAAAAAGTTTTTAATGTATTTTAAAATCATAAAGAATGTATTATAGGCCAGAAGAAGAGTTTAAATTATAAGACTGCTGAGTATAATCAAAGGATTTGAAACACCATCCACAGGAAAAAATGTCGAACGGAATATGTGAGCATAGCTGCCTATCTTCTGCCCATGTATGTTTGGTAACTTTAAAATTTCCCCACAGCAAACATATGCTGCATTCATAAGGAAGATGTGCTAGTAAGCTGGCTGGGGTGACCAAAGACTCCAATAAGCACAGCCACCTGGGTCCAGGGAATGAAGACTCTCAGCCTTGTCATCAGAGTCCCGAGCTAAGCCAGGGGAGCCCTGTGCTGGGGAAATCTCCAGTCCCAGGGGCTGTCATCTCTGTGAGGCCTACCACTTGCTGCTATTGGGGATGGGGACAGTAGAGTCCTACCACTGTGGTGTGGTTGACCTTCCATCTCTGCTGCATTTCTAACTGTCCTAGGTACCCCGTGATGATCTCAGGTTACTGAGGGCCTTGATCCAGGTAGGGCTGGCTCACAACCTAAGGTCACCCATTCCAGAGCATCCCAAGTGGTTGACTAGAAGGAAAAGTCACAATGAAAGAAAGGGGTCTTCCAAAGCCTGCAGCTATGGCCTGGAGTGGAATGGGGGAGGACTTGGATCTCCTGTGGCCATGGCTCATTGATCCTCAAGGGGTACCAGACACAGGGAGGGAGGAGGGACAGGAAAGCAGAAGAAATGCAGAATTACTGATAAAATTACACTGCATGCATGTATAAATATAACAGTGAATTCCATCTTTATGTATATCTACAAAGCACCAATTAAATTATATAAATGAGGGGCTGGGTCATGGCTCAGTGGTAGAGCGCTTGCCTAGCATATGTGAAGAGGCCCTGGGTTCGATTCTCAGCACTGCATATAAATAAATGAATAAAATAAATATTTTTTTAAATTATATAAATGAGTGGAAGGTAGACCAGAAGAGCAGAAGAGGAGGAGTAGGGGGAAGGGGGAGGGAGGGGAGGGAGAGGAGGGAGCTCCTGGGGACTGAATTGGAGTATATTCCAAACATGTATGATTATGTCAAAATGAACCCAGCTACTATGTAGAGCTATAATGCACCAAAGAAATCAAAAGATAAAAGAGGAACCAGATACTGGAGGCCTCCAGGCTCAAGTACTAGGAAAGCAGAGAGCCCTTGGGGGTGGCTCCAAGTCACCACACGCCTGAAGTGGAATTTTCCAAAAAGCCTCCACTAAAGGCACACTGGGTCACCTGCTGCCACCAGCTCACAGCCTGATGCCGAGGTCTGCAGAACTCAGGTCTCGTGGAGCCTCATGGCAGGCAAGCGGGCAGAGGTGGGCTAGGGATGTAGGCCCAGCTCCTGGCCCCACCTGCTGTCCACTGTGGGGGATCCCGCCTGTGTAAGGTCTCTGCCATCAAGCTGAGGTCCCCCAGGCTCACGGAGCCACCTGGGGCTCCTGGAAAACACTGGGAACTCCCTCCCAGGCAGGGTGCTGGGTGGACGGGGGGCTCATGTTTGTCTGGCAGTGGGGGTGACATGCCAGATAGAAGGGACAGATCCATCTCCAAAAGGCTACTGGTTCACTTCTACTCCCCTGAAGGCCACCAGATGCTTCCTCCACTTATCAGCCTTGAATTTTACCCCTCCCAAGCCTGGCTCCAGCCTAACCTTGCAACCCCCTTGTCCCCTCTCCTGCTGGGCAGATTCCAACTGCATCATTTCCCAAAGGGTCCCAAAGCCCCTTGCACTTCCCCTGTGCCCCTCCATAGCTGTTGGTGGCACCAGAGTTAAGGGGCTCCCTGCCTCACGGCAGCCTGGGTAGGAAAGAACTCTACAGAAAATTATCTGCAGAGTGCAGGAGTCTTCCTACTCCAGCATGTGGAGGGTGCCTTTAAGCTCCCCAAAGGACTAGGAGGTTTGCCCAGAATGAAGGTGCAGCCTGAGGGGCGGGTGGCACCTTGTTGAGCTCTCTGGCCTCTGCTTTTCTCCTGGGACATCTCTTCCGCCTCTTCCTGGTCAGCCTCCACAGGCCTGGTTGTGGCCTCTGGTACTGCCTCTTCATCTGCCTCCTCGCCCTGGCCCACAGAAGGTACTCAGGACAGTTTGAGGATGGCTGGTCTCACCTCCAGACCCCGATCCCAGCGGACCCAATCCTCCTGGGAGATTGTCCTCACCCAATAAGTATGAACCACCCCTGCCCAAGATGGGAGCCCAGAAAAAACACACCTGGGTGCTGAGCAGAGCTGGGTCTTGGTTTACAGAAGGAAAGAAAGAGCAGCTCAACTGACCTCTGCCACACCCCGGGCCCCTACCTGAAGGCCTGGGGAGGGCAGGTGGCTCACACAGTGTAACTCAGCCTCCAGCTCTTGCCTCCAAGCTCAGTCCTCTCCTCAGCACCAGTTCTTGCCACTAGGCCTACAAACAGGCTCAGATGAACCCCTCGAGGCTTCTTAAATGCCCTCTCACCAGGCCTGTGCAGCTGAGCTTCCGGAAAGGAAAGGCCGCCTGCCCCAGCTCCTCCTCCCAGCGGTATTTCCTGAGGGCCTCCAATCCCCTGTCTCAGTAGGGCTTGGACACACCTGCCCCCAATGGTTCCTCCCAACTTTTTCCTCAGTCTGAGCCTCAATTTCCCCTTCTGTAAAATGGGGATGGTCATTGCCACTCCCTGGGCTCAGGGGAGCTGTGTGGGCTCTGGGGAGCAGAGGCTGGCGTGGATCAGACAGTGATGGTGGGGATCTTTGTGTAGGAAGGGGACCATTAGGGGAATTCCAAAGGACACCACATTCTGAAGTGTAGACTGGCTGTTCCTCTCAAAGAGGACACAGAAGCTACGGAGCCTCCCTCAACTACCCATCTATCACCGTCCATAAACTCATTGTGTACCCAACAAGGAACAGGAGGACCTCAAGGGCAGGTGATGTTGGCATCTTGACTAGCAGGCACCATTAACTCCGTTTTACAGAAGTGGAAACTGTGATTTTTGGGGTCACCACCTTGTACAAGGTCACTGGCTAGAGAGGGCAAGAGGGGAGGGCCCTGGGGAAGAGGTTTCAGAAGTCTCAATGGCACAAAGTGCTGTGTGACTCCACAAACTTGTGTGGAAAGGGCTGGCTGTAAAAATCAAACCCAGAATGGACAGTGAGAAAAGCCCCAGGATGTAGCCAGGGTCAGGTGCTCATCGGAGACCAGTCAGTGCCTTTTGTCAAGGCTGAAGTTTCCTATAACAATCTCCTATCTTTTATTTTTATTGTTTTAGTTATAGATAGATGCAATATTTTAATTTTGTTTTATTTTTTTTTTAATGCGGTGCTGAGAATCTAATCCAGTGCGTCACATGTGCACTTGTGCAAGGCAAGCGCTCTCCCACGGAGCCCCAGCCCCAGCCCCAGCCCCAATCTCCATCTTTATGATCAGAGTGAAAATCCTGACTAGAGCAAGGTGGTGCTGGGAACAGCATGGCCACATGCTCCCCAAGGCCTGAGCACCTGTGGCAAGAGGTGCAGCTTGAGCCCCCACCGGGTGAGGTTTGAGAGGGAACTGTGACACCAGCCAGGTATTCAGGAACCAGAGGTGCTGCCTCTATGGCCAAATCACCAAACATGCCTGGGGTTGTGGAGGGGGGCAGTGTGGAGAATTGAGAGCTGAGGTGGAAGAGGGGAGGGGAGACTGGCAGAGGAGGCAGGGCCAAGGCTGCGGGGAGTTGTCTTTGTCCCCCCAGGGCAGCAGAACACTCCACAGGCTGGTGGCTCCTGAACAACAGAAACCGAATTCTCAGGGTTCTGGAGGCGGGGAGCCTAGGATCAACGTGCCAGCAGATTGCCGAAGGTCCATGTTCTTACATCTAGCATCTCCTCACTGTGTCCTCATGTGGGAGAAAGGTGAGGGAGCTCTCTGGAGTCCCTTTTACATGGCACTAGTCCCATCTATGAAGGTGTCGTTTGTGACCCAATCAGCTTCCAAGGCCCCGCCTTCTGATACCAACACACTGGGGCTGGGGGCCACACAGGATAGGAGGTGTCAAGATAAAAGTGGAGGCACTGCATCAACCCTAAAAAATAAATAAATAAAACCGGGAGGTCCTGAAGGAGGGGCTGTCACACAGCATCCAAAAGACGCAATCAGCCTGGCACCAAGACACCTCTGCACCGGGACCTCCCTACAGCTGCTCTTCAGGCTGGACTGGCACCACCCTGCTCACTGATCCTCTAGCCCAGGACTGCCATTTCAAACATCATACGAGGGCCTCCTCCTTCTGCCTTGAAAACCTCCCCTGCCTCCTTCTCCCTCGAACAAACGTGACTTCTCTAGCCCATGGGCTCCACTGCAGGATTCTGCCACTCCTAAGGACGCCTCTCTCTATCCAGCCAGCCATCTAGCTATATATTTTTAACCTCGGATTGAACCCAGGGCACTTAACCACTGAGCCCCACCCCCAGCCCTTTTTGTATTTTATTTTGCAGAGTTGCTTGGGGCCTCGCTAAGTTGCTGAGGTTGGTTTTGAACTCATGATCCTCTTGCCTCAGCCTCCTGAGCCACTGGGATATAGGCATGTGCCACCGTGCCTGGCAACAAATCTGTATTCTATGGAGAAAGTCCATGCTTGCTATTTAGGGTGACACAGACATTCAGATGGTGGCAAGGTGGGAACAACTGTGGGGGAGGCCGTGCAGACAGAGTCAAGATTAGCTCAGATTTGTACTTTGCCAATATGTCCAGTCCACCATGCAGAGACTGGCAGGTGCCTTGAGAGCACTTGGGAATCACTTCCCACTGTCCCAAGCTCCATGTGCTGGCTGCAACAACGGGTTCATCCAGGGACTGGGGTTGTGGCTCAGTGGTAGCACACTTGCCTGGCATGCGTGAGGTGCTGGGTTTGATCCTCGGCACCATCAACAACTTTAAAAAATA